AACTGGTGGGCATATTTCTCACCACACTCCAAGTGTACGTGTACTTGCCGAGTGATGACCGGTACGTGTATCGTAAATGCATATGATGCGCTTCTGTGAACGACCGTAACTCACACACGGCTCGGTTCTTAGAGAAATTTACATCTAGGCTTTCTCGATTTTGCTTACATATGTACACGATTGACATTCATGACAAAATGATTGATTGCCATCCACAATACGTCAGTATCTTTTCGGAAGCTTTATTAAATTCTGCGGCCAAAACTACATAAACAATGGCTGTTGATGGAATTTTAAAAATTAATTTTTTTACATATTGATTTTCTTCTGGGTTTCAAATTTAATAATTGTTATCGCGTTAATCTAATTTTAATAGAAACAAATTTTGATTGTATTAATAGATCAATTTATGTATTAATTGGAGACTTGGAATGATATCACTCTCTCGCATTATTTATTCAAGAATTTTATCACTGCGATTATCACGCACATTATACGCGTAGATATCAAATTTAATTTATGAACTAATTTCTAAGCTTTGCGCGACATAATATGAATCAGAATTATGCTGCTCGCTTATATATTTTCTTTGATTTCCAAAATAAAATAAACTAGAAAATATGAGCAGCATATTTGTCTCGGATTTTTATTCAAACATTTCAAGCATGAAAGAAATTTCTATCCGTAACACTATATGAAAAAACTTCATCGAAAAATATCTCTTTGATCTTCGAAGGTATTTTGTGTTTTTAATCTTGAATGATACACATGTGTAATATTAGCGCTTTTTTAATAATCTATAAATTATTTATAACGTTAAGTGTTTTATTATGCAAAAAAATATTTTCTCATAAAAGTATCTTTAATCGATAACGGTATCTCTAATCGATTAACGATATGATGTATTATTATGCATAGTGCCGTTGACACATGGTAATATAAATGTTAATATGCGTACATAATAGTTTGACTTTGATAATCGCCTATCACGTTAATGTGCAAAATTAATTGCACGAGAAATTGCATCCGTCATTTTATCTTTGCGTCGATGAAACGGATTAATTGGCCGCGCCATGAACTAGTTTGAGTGCACGATTATAAGCAGATATAAGCAGATAACGTAAAGTACCGTAGATCTGAAAATGTCGCGAATTATAATTTGATGTAATCGAGAATCTTGGCTCTTCCGCACAATAGCACATTTACACTTTATTAAAATTTTAAATAAATTCATAATTCCTGCTTGCACAACTCTTACTTTCGAGTTCAGAAATCTTTTTGTACCAACTTTGATAATTATTCCTAAATTTTGAATTTTATCTTTTCATTAAAAAAAAATTTTCTTGCAAAGTTATTGGTTTCCAAGAAAAATAATTCTCACGGTATGCAACATTGTATTCATATTTGAACATGGTTGAAGATGAAAAGCACATTGTTAATCGGTTTCGGGACGCAGTATGCATAATTTATTTAATCAACGTATAAATCTCACTAATTACAAGAACTATAACGAATCGTATTGTCTCTAATAAAGAATGTATTGCGAACAAAAGAAAAAGAAAGTATTACAGTCTTTTCATCTGCTGTACGCATGATTATAATATTGCATTATCAAAAATGCACATTGATGTAATTTAAATGAACAGATGAATGAATTTAATGATCTTTGATAAATACAATAAAAATTTGCAGTCATAATTTTTGAATTATCTAAATTTTCTCTCGTTTCATTTAGAAACTGTCGTTAAAAGATTATAGAAAGATGGTAAATAGTGGCTTTTTATATGAAATATCACTTTTAGATATAAAAGTTTATTATATTACTCTCTTCTCTTTTATATATAAAGTTTTCCTGTAGCAAATAGCTTTCCTTGCTATATCAGATGTGTTTAAATTTTCACTCTTGATCGAATGGATCGACCATACAAGATAATTGAGCCAATTCGTTTTTCATTGCTGCTACATCATAAAGTAAATATTTGAAGCACGTTACAGTGAGATTTCGTTTTATTGCTCGTTATATTATAGACAATTATTACATATAATGATAAGTAATTATTTGACTACTATATTGCTTCTTTTGCTTCATCATCATTTACTTAACAATGGAAATTATTAGTTCAACGGTTTATAATCGATTTTTTCTATTTCAACAATTAATTACATTTAATACGTTGAGATTAAACTCTCGGAGAATCTATGAAATTCGTGATTTAGGTTTAACAAGAGTATGAGAAACAATAGAAAAATCTTGAACCAATTTAAGCTTCCACTTTCTCGAATCTTTATACTTTATTGCAGGCTTATGTATATCTTACCAATAAATTCGTACGTGTGTGTGTTTGTGTGAATTTACTCTTCTACTACATTCATAACAATAAATATCAAGTATACTCGAATGGCTCACCAGATTTAATCGCTGAGAGATCTATGTCGGTACAACTATGTGAAAGCATAGAGTGACGATTTGTCTTGCACTTTCAGTCAGCATTAATTATGACAGGAAATTTTCTATACAAGGTGCCATAAACATTTAGATTATTTAGCAATTTTTTTAAAATTATTTTTATAATTTACAGTTGATTTTCTCTTAACAAAAAATATAAGGAAATTTTTTTAATTGCAACTTGTTAAGAATAAAGGATTATTCAAAAAATTAAATTAAATAATGCTGATAAAATAGCATAATTTTATACTTTAATTGGTTTCATGTAACTTTTATTTTGACAAATACATTTATAATCTGAAAAGTAGTTATAAAAATATTTAGTTTATACAGATCTCTGATATTGCCAAATTTTTTCTAAACGTAAAAAATTTTTACAAACCTATTATGATCTGATACATATGTATAAAATAAATAGTCATGTGTTATCTGAGTGAAAGATAAAACATTTTTTATATAATTAATTAAAAAATTTACATTATTAAGGGTTGATGTCAAAAGTTAAAGACTTGCAAATAATACTTTTTAGTTACAAAAAATCATTTTTATTACAAAAAATCAGCAGGGAGTTCATAAATTGAGAATTTATGATTGGCTAGATCTACGACACCCTATATAATACACGTGACGCTTTTCTGCATCCGCGCATATCTTTGTACAGTAACGTTAATGGATCTTGTACACACATGTATATCTCGCGCGCATAAATGTAGTCGAGTAACAAAATAGAAAGTAGCGGGAACATGCGGGCGGCAGGTTAGGGCTCAGGGAAAGGGAGAGTGAGTGAAAATAAAAGGGTGAGAGTGAGACCGAGCAGACTGTGCGGGAAGAGACGGAAGCACACATCGCATCGCTGAGAAAGATAGTCTCAACTCGCGGTGGATAATCGTGAGAGGCTCCTCTCTCGGCTGTATTGTGCCGCTCCTTTATCCTTTCACTCTTTTCCCTTATCGTGTTCTACGGTAAATTCCACGGCGGAACGACGCGACGTGCGCTCGGGGGCTTCTTTTTATCGCGGATCGTTGGCCTTGATTCATGTACCAGCTGGCATTGACATGGTCTTCGTTATATCACCCGTCAATCCGTCGCGCGAAACGCTTTCGTGATCGGATCATGATGAGAAACATTCGGCTCCACTCTCCAATTTTAATGAAACTCCAATTTTAATGAAGTAGACTATAGAGCAAGCAAAAATAATAGGAAAGTAAGTTTTTTTTACTCCTGATGGTAATTGGATTCAGAAGTTAACACCAATCTCCGTGATTGAATCCATCCGGTACTAGATTGAAAAATTTCTGAAATCAGGAGATGAAAGTTTTACTAGCTGTTAAGTAGTTTTTCACTTCCTGTTGGCTATCATAAAATTTTTTAAAGGAAATAATTCACAATACTTTTTTTATTTATACAGATTACAATTATGCATAGAATACTCAAAAATAAATAAAATATTTCAATATATCAAGTGCCTTTTGTATTCAATTAAAAATGTTATCTTCGCGACAAATCTTCATGAACGTATTATAATAATAGGCTGTAATAATGAATACACAGATTATATCTTTCACATATGTCACTGCTAACCTCATAACGTCTATCACGATATATGCCGAGATGTTATTTTCAAACAATTATCATAAAAGTGATCTAACACTGTGGAGACAATGATGTATTAGACGTATATATTCTCTTGTTACTCGTAAAGTATAAGCGTCTCTCTCGCATCGACTATACAAGAAACCCCGACGATCATTCCATTCACTAAAATTTCTATTATAGCATATAATTAAATGTCACTTTCTTCAAACTAAATATATATCAGCCTAGAAAAAAAATTGCACGAGTAAATCGTTCAGTTCGAAAAGTAGCAATAGCACGTAGCTTGTTTATTAGAACTTTTATTATCAAAATAAATGTTTATATTAATTAAATATAAAATGTAAAAGATATGGTAATTAATAATGAAACGTTTGAAAACGATTAATATCTTTATTTCAAAGTGTATTCGTGAATAAATTCATATTTTTACATTTTGATTTGCTGTATGCGTAATCTGATATTTACATTTTCTTTCCGAAACATGTTATTGTAAAAGTATGTATGATGTCTGGACGCAGTAATGCAAGCGTTACACTACTTATACTTGATTATAGAAATTTGATTCACGTTACTAGCTTCTTCCTGCATGCATTAACTGATGCGTTGCAGTATAGTCTTTAGCGATGCAACTTAGCCGACTCATCCATTCCTTTCACATACATGCTTCCGCGAGAAATCACGGTAAAGGTGCATCGAACGACCTTACCAGCCAAGATCAAGATCAGCCTTTCGCGATTGGAATTAAAACGCTTCGCCGCTATCGTTGCCGTACAATTAAATAGAATATTCAAACCGTGAGAAACTTTTACACTATAACGTCAGTATTTTTCCCAAACTTTTATTACTTTTTTTTCTTATCATTAATTCCGTTAATATATTAATTAAGTAACAGTTATTTGCACGGTGAGAAATATTTTTATAAATTATAATGTTTCCTAATGTTTTTCGAAAATTTTTCGCGATCCATATTTTTGCAGGAAATTTGAAAAACTCGGAAACGAGTTACAAATTATGAGGGACACTATTAAAGTTTTCTAGTTCAGTAACAATTTATGATAAAAAACGATAAGAAATAATTTATTAATTCTTGTCATTATGAATTATATATTTAAACTATTCGATAATTGAATATAAAACTTGGTAATTATATTACCAGCAATTCTTGAACGTCGTTATAAAATTAACGACATCTTTAAGCAAATAATTGTTACTCATAATGTACTCCGTTAAAATCCCATCTGGCTCACAGCCAGTCATCATCCTTTTTCTGCCAAGCCCTTCCGCGATCCTTTCACTTTCTCTCTTCTTCCATCGATATCCTTTTTGTCGATTATGACTGTGAGCGGCATCTTATATAGCGTGTGCGAGTTCAACGCAATCGCAAACTCTGGTCGCGGAGAACGTTGCTTTCTCGACTTTCAAACGTTCAACCGGTCATCGGTCTTCCAGTGAAAGTAACCGGAACGAGAAGATGCGATCTTCGCACAGTGACCGTGATCTCCCGACATTACTTTACACGACCGTCGACAAGTCGGCTAATTTTTACAAACGCCCTCGTGACCGCTCGACCGTGGAAGCGACGCGCGTTTCCAACCAATCACGAATGTATATTAATCACGAGTATCTTTAATTGCAATTTTTACAAAGAATATTACACTGTGGTTGGCGATGTGACACTTATTGTGATGAGATACATAATTACTGCTCGTACTTGCTAAAAACCAACACGTGCACAAGTCAAATACATATTGTACAAAGATTAAATGTTTAAATATTTTTGTAGACGATGGAGATTGCTCACACACATATTAATATTATCAGAAAGAAACAAAATTATAATTTTAATATCAAATTGATAGAAATTAAAAGATATTGTTTCTGTCAATTCGATTATTAAAATAATTAAAAAGTGATATAATTTCAAATAATCATTTCTTTGCATAAATCACTTGTTAAATTTCATCGATGAACGATGCAAGTTCTGGGCCAATAATTATTATCTTATATGTGCATACAAACTTAAAATCAACGTCACATATATTTATTCTTTTACACAATGCAAATATACTTGTGTGTAATATTTTATGCTTAAATAACCGTCAGAGATACGCGCGTTATATTGTAACAATATATCGGAATTATGTTCCTCGTCCTATATGTAACAAAACGAGTTATGCATGCATAACAAATAACTTAAAAATTATTCCATTTACTATAATAGTTATGAGATATGTTTAACTAGCATATTACAGGACATTTAAAGATTTTGTAACAACAAATAATTTTATCAATAAATTTATGACTAATTACGAAAGTAGACACGTGATGATGCATGCCCATCTTCGTAATTTTTCTCGTTCTTAAATTTACAATGCGTTAAAAGCTTTTGTTAAAACAATAATGAAACTGTCTTGTAAATCTCCGAAATAGCCATAATATTATTTACACAATATGCAGTTATTTACAAAATGATGTCTATATCATTGCATATATGAATCTTAGGCACTCAAAATCGTGAGGATGCGCCGTGTCATCCACTTCATGCACACAGCATGTCTATTCCAAAGCTCTCATGCAATCTCTCAGCCTGTAGATTCTTAAGTATATTTAAGATTAATGTTTATTAAAAAATATAATGAAGCTATTTGGTTTTGAAAGTTTATGTAATAAATTTAAGAATTTTTCTGTGAATACAATGAATACAATGAATTTTATAGTATTGCTTAATCAATCATAAAATTTTTAAATTATCAATATTTCTGTAGTGTTAATTATTGATTACAAGTTGATATTTATATCGCAGTAACAATAAATCATCGGGACAATTTTTTCATATTCAAATATCGAACAAAAGTTAATAAAGAATCTGAAAAACTGCAAAATAAAATTTCAAAAGACCTAATTCAAATTAATAGAAAGTACTTATTGCGAAAACTATTATACGAGCATCATCGTGTCGACTTTCTTAAGTAGTATCATAAATAAAGTGATATAAATTTAATCTAGACGTGTATGTATATATAAACGACATGTGAACAGGCTGCGCATAATTTTCGCTCGAGATGTCTGTAATAATTTGCAAGCACAAAAACATCTTTTGATTCTATTCAAAAGAGAAGCAAGTAAAATTTTTTGGAGTACCAAAAAATATTCTTTGCATAACTCGAGGATATCAGGAAAAAAAACAAAGAGATCCAAGAATTTTAAATTAACAGCACTGCGGCAAAAAATTCTAAAATCACACATAACGTATTTATATCTAGTGCATCGTATTAGCGCACACATTGTGTGTGTCGGAAATCGAAACTTCTCGGGTAGTCGATATAATTTTGCTGAGTTCAGACTTCGGCACCTTGAACGAGCCTTTTCATACGTTTATTCGTGGCAAGGATGCATTATTCAATGGCGTATGATGCATTTTGCCGTGTCTAAGCAACAAGAACAATCGAGCTCATCGAAATTACACCGATTTCAAACCCAGTAGCGTGCTCTTGCTATCTATCCGTGATGATGCGATGCGATCGCCGCCACGTCGGTCGGTACACCGAGCGGCAGGTGTTGATACGACGCGGCATGAATGGGCATCGTTCGGAAATCGTAGGCCGCTGGGTCTCCGTGATCCTCCCGCACGGCGTAGCCCTGCTTCGACTGCGCGAAATTGGCGATCCAGCCACCTCCGGTCGGACCGGCGAAGCCGGAACCTGGCAGACCGGTAACCGCGAAGCCAGCGTGCAACTGTTGATGAGACGCGGGAATTACTCCTCCGTAAGCGGTCGATGCGCCGGTCGCCAACACGTTAGGCCAGGTCTTCGTGAGCTCTTGCAACTTCCTGTGGTATTCATCCATGGACACGGTGTCTCGCAGCACGATGCCGTCCTTGTTACCGGCGATGGTGGCTGCCGGTATACCGGCCGGCAGTATCACGGCACCTTGCGTATCGGTAGCTATGTGACCGTAGACGGTAGGAGCGATCTTGTGCTGTCCTTCGATTCCCTTCGAATCCTTGTCCCTCTCGATGGCACTGCTGAGGGCCTGCTGATTCTTCAGCGTGAGATCCTTCTCGATGGAACGTGAAGCGTAGTACTTATTCGCGTTTTCCTTTAAACTGTCGCCCCTGGCGGCGCCTTCCATGTCGGAGAAGAACGAATCGTGCTGCGGACTTTCGTAGGAATTCGCGGTCGCCGATGCTGAGTATTCCTGACCTACCGACGTGAAACCGGTCGGCGGATAGTCTGGTGCGGCGGGTTGACGCGTATAAGCGCCGGCATACCTGCTTTAAAAAGAAAGGAAGCGGTTTTAGTCGTGTTAGGAAAAGCCGGTCGCCGGTGGAAACTAGGGTAAAGATACCAGAGCGATTAAAAAGCAATCACAGACAATTAATCTTTCTTTCAGCGTGCATATTCCTGTGACTTCATTAATGTCACTTTTTGAAATACGCAACCAACTCCAACAAAGATCGCTCACAAGAGAATTAGTGCACAGATTGAAAACGAGAATATAAAGATTACGATTGAGATTAATTTTTCAAAAAATTTCTGTGGAATATCACATCTGCTAAAGCTCATCGTGCAACACGTCTTACTTTAATCAAAAAATGACTTTGCTTGCTCTTGTATTAAACCACAAATATAGAGCTCCTATTAAGATCCGAATTTTTATTTTAAATTATTCATTTAGCTACATGATTTATGCGATAAAAGTTCAAGTTGTGCAATAAAGTTCTGAAAACATAAGATTTATATATGACATTATATTGTAAGAAGGGCAAGTGATCAACAGGGATAAAAAATTAAATCGTTATAAAATAATACCTCTCAGGCACAAATGGCAAACTGCTGCTCTTGATATTGTCGTACGGAATATATCCTTTGCCGAAAGAGATGCCGTGCGAAACATCTTTGCCGTACGGTACGTGCACATGGTTCACAGTTTCGTGACCCTGATCAAAATCATCACCTCCGTACGGTAATGGCCGGAAAGGTTTCTTGCTGTAGTAACGTTGGGCAGGACTGTAGTATGTGGGACGATGAAATTCGTTGCTTCCGTAATTTTTTTTGTAATACGGCGAAGACGGTTTCCATGATGGGGTTCGTCTTACCTGTCGAGGCACGACCAGTATCATTTTTCTGAAAGCGAAAAAGGGGTGCACACAGTTAAATTTGACTTTATCAATTACAGGAGCTAAATTTTTCAAAATTTTTTTAAAATTAGGAAGTGTAAAGAGTTGTAACAAGTTAAGTTCAAAAATATAACAATATGCGTTTCCATCTCTTTTGAATGCATTTTTCCATTTTTATAGCTCATGTACAATTTTTAGCTTTCTATTAAAGAGATTCTACAGACTTGCATTCACAAATAGTTTGAGACACATCAATAAGCTAGTAAACGAAATTCAATGCTACTTGCAAAAAAATTATCGTACTTTCACACATTTTATGTTTTCGCAAAAACGACATATTCTAGATTCGTGTTCCACTTCGAAGATCCTGCTGCCTAAAGGAAAAAAGGTTTTCATAGACGTGGTGAAAGTTGTCTTTCAATGATGCAAACAAAAATTCTTGTTTTACACTTAACTTTACACTTTTTTTCGGCTCTCATTGTGCTACTTCTATTTAACATTAAAACTGTGATCACTAAGCATTTTATCATCAATAAAACCCGTACTTTCATAAATCTTTAATTAATGTTATTAATGGAAATTGTAAAACACATGTTTAAACTATCTTAAATGCGTATTTGAGAAATGATTATAATTATTATTATTATACATTTACAAGTTAACGAGCCTTAGTATGAGCTTTCATAGTTTTGTACGACGTAACTTCCATTTTTTTGAAATATGGATTCAAGATTATTAAGACTATTTAGAATGATTGATGAGAACCTATTCTGTAAAATAGCCGCCAACTTTCGAACATTCTGTTATTAATTTAATGTAATCACCAGTTGATGTTAATTAAGTATGGCATGGGTACTCACGCGTGGATGAAAAGAGGCTCGCTGATCGCCAGCAGCAGAACGCAGAGGGCCTGCGAACATTAATTACTGATTAGCACTCATTTTAACGGTAACGATCGTAAACGATGAGCCAAAACGAAATTATCTATCGAGTTGACAGACTTTCGCGTAGTTACGAAAGTTTAGCCGCACATGTGTAATCGTATCTGCAAGAGTTATGCACACCGAGACATGCAATCCCGATACGCTACAGTTGTCATTAGTGTTTAGTTTACGGTCGGGTGATATAATTATCTAAACTGAGAGCCGCAATTAGCGCCGTTATCGGTCTCGCCCCTTACTCGGCAGTTTCATCGATAAGTATGATTAAGACTTTCACACGATGAAAGTTAATGCTGCATCCTCTAGGCATTAGATTTTTCTGAATCGCATCTATTAAGCAGAAAATTGAAGTTAACTAGTCAAATTAGATAAACTTTGCTTTTCAAAGATAGTTATATATACATAAATATGAAATTTTTATGTATCTTTATTAAATATATACATTAATTAATTAATATATATATAATTACTGAAAATGTTAATTAATTTCTCTATTTTTCTATTTTTTTAAAAGCTTATATTAAAAAAATATTGTTGTTTAATTTTGTTTTATATTATTACATAACTGATGACTTTATTTAATCGATTATTTGCATATATTTAAAAATTAAAAAGCGTAATAAATAAATAAACAAATAAATTAAATCCGATTAATGCAAAAATGTAAAATTTGCTTGCCCTACTTTTATATTTTCAATTATATATTAGATAAAATTATGCATAAAATATTATGCTCTCTTTTCTATCTCTTTTCAAATCATTTAACATAACGTTATAATGTTAATAATAACTAATAATTTGTAAAATCAAATTAATCTTTTCATGATTAGTAAAATGTACAACGCAATCCTTTTATGCTCCTTCGTAATTAATTTATTTTATGTACAACCTAACTCCAGAAATCGTTCATTAGTAAAAATTATCAAAAAAAAAAAAAAAAAATTATTAGAGTACAAAATATAAAGAATTAACTGAAGAAGTTGTAAAATTCGAAAATTCTGACTCACCGAGTATCGCATACTGTCGGCCCTTGAATTACTTGCCAAAGCCTGATAATGCACGCCTATCCGCCCTGTCGCGTTATCGGTGTCGTCGCGAGGTACGGAGTGGCGCAAAAGCCGGTGTCTCGGTCGCCACCGATCAAGAGCCCAAGAAATCCTGTCCGATCACCACGGATGATCCAGATGTATTGCGGTTACCCGCACCACGTCTCTTCTCTTTTATACAAGATAAAAAGAGCATAGACTTGCGCTGCTGCGCGCCGCGATCCGCCTCCCACCGTGAAAATGTACCAGCGACCGGCGGCGGCACGTCCGCTGTACCATCGCGATGGAAATGGAAAACGGGCGTGCAACGAGAGAACCCCGGTCGGTCGTCTCCGATAAACGCGGCCGGGTGAGCCGTCGGATTTTTGTTTAGGGAGAAATCGACGCTTTCTTCATCGCGCGAGACGGGATAATGCGACGTGCATTGGGCGTACCCGCGATACCATCGTTCGAAAGATGCTGCGGAACCCCCGCGGCCTTCTCTCCGCAATGTCACCCAGGATGAGCCGAGAGTCCGGTCCGACAGGTGTGTCTCGCGTTATCAGAAATGAAAAGAAAGAGACTAATACTACAGCGGATACGACAGACGAAAGGGTCAATCAAACGAAAGTAGTCAGAAAGTAGATACGTTCCACTATATATTACTTTTCTATATCGTAAAAGAGATTCGAATCTCATTAGTCTTTTAACTTTCTGCTTCCGTCAATTTAAGTCAGTCGCCGTATAGGACGCTGTAGAAAGATATTTTGCTCGATACAAAAATGATTGTAATCAACTATGGCGAAATGTAGTTTTTTTTTTACAACTCTATGTTTTACACTATAAAATAATGAAGCATGCCATTAAATTTCAATTAATAAATTACGTCAAAAATAAAATCACACATGAATATTAATATTGGGATTCACAAGTGTGCAGTACAATTATGAAATAATTTCGTGCGGAATAATCAATGGAACGAAAATGAATGTTTGTTGTTAATTATCGTTTTAGATGTGATGCGCTAAGATGTACTAATGCATCTATGCCACACCCAACATTTGCTTTCCAAAATGCGAATAACAAGAGAATGTAACTGCTTTAATACGATCCCATAGAAAGAGTGTTCTACATTTCCCAGCTGCATCTCCGACGATCGATTGACTTGATCTTATATCTGATTTCGAAAAAATGTTTAAATATTTTTTTATGCAAAAGAAAGATTTTTCTCCTTTTCTAAAATTAAGCAAATTTCGATTATATAATTGTTTATAATATTTATGATACAGATATCATTTTACTTAATTATTTAATTATTTAATTATTTAATAACATAGATATTATCTTGCAACAATATTACGGAAATGAATAAATCATAACAAAGGTTGATAAAATTTTATGAACAGTGCAATTTTTAATAATGCGTTTATTAAAATATTTAAAACTTTATCAAATTTAAGAGCTAGAATCACATTAGTTTAATTCAGTACAATTCAAAACTTTCTTCTGAGTAATTACATTAACTATACATTTATACAAACTCAGATTCGTATCTCAATCAAAGAAAAAATAATTGTTGTCAACTTGTGATTTAATTACAAGTTAATTCTAAGTAAGCAAGAATTAAAATTAATTCACAAGTATCTTATAAATTATCTGCAATCTTCTGTCATAAAAATATATATGAGACTTGTATATCGAGACATTATATACAATATAGTTTCGATAATACCGCGTGCGTAATATGTGTATTATCGCCAAGTATTGACGTGACTTAAAATAGAAATTTCACTGACAGGAATAATCGCGGTTTCATATTGTTGCCGTTACGGTCCACATACACGAATCTTTTCTCGGCGCGTCGGAATGCCGACGATGGCGTCGTTACAACACGCGTTGATTAGACCATTCACGCGATGTACTTTCTTGCAAATTCAAGGTCGAGTTTCTAACCTCATGCCTTTTTCAACAAGGACTACATATTATTTTATCATATCAACTATCTCTGCCTCTTGGCGTAAAAAACAACATGAAAATCCATTTTTTTCATAATAAATTAGAAATATTAATAATTTTTCTAGAAAATATGTATTATACATATCATATTTAGAAATATATGGCATATATATAGTGGAAATATATAGTGAGTTTGTTCAAATCAAGCTATATTTGTAATACATTACAATTTTTATGAGAAAAGTATTGTATTGTCCTCTTATTTCGGAAAAGTTTTTACTTTAAAAATTGTTATTTGTTTCAAACTAATTCTTACTTATAATAATTACTTGCTTATAATAACACACATTACAAATTCTTGTGTAATAAAGATAACGTGGTTAAATGAGTCACTAAATGCAACTTTTCATGATTTTGTGCAACTTTACATATAATCGTTATACTAGTCAGTGAATTTTACGAGCTAGGATATGATTAAAAGATTAATAACCGTGTATAGTTCGCAATTTTTTAACGCTCTTAGTCACGCTTTCAACTAAACAATTTAGGTACCTATGGACTTACATTTTTTATTCTTGAAACATGTTACAGTTAAATATGAATATAAAAGATATTTCTATGACATATTTTAATGATTTTTTCTAAACAAAAGTATGCTAGTAATTTTTAACTTATGTAACTTTATTTTTCATAAAAATATTTAAAAATTTAGGTATTTAAACACATCAATGATCGTCTAAATTATACATTTTCAATATTCTTTTGTTTTCCGAATAAAAACAAAATAAAAAAGATTATGCTAAATGCAATGAGCAGTTACAAGTATCAAATCAACTAAAAAAATTCATGCACAGCAACATGAATTTGCAATAAAATCTAACGTACCGGAAACTTCACTGCGGAACGAGAAAATTGCAATACCTTCCGCCTTCCTTCAGATGTTAATGTTCCAAAGCGGTATAACGCGGCGAGAACGGCCGACAAATTGATCTATTACAAGATCGAGTATATGTATATAAGGTGCAATTTGGAGAGAGAGTATGGTTCGAAACTATTCAGCAAATTTTATGTTTTCTTTTTAACTTAATATTCTTCTAATCACCTCACCTTGCAATTCTATTAAACGTTATGTACTATTAATTTTATCAAGTATAAGACATTATTCTCGCATAAAAACAGAAAGGAAATTGTCCAGTGAACTTTCACGCAATTAATCTATGTTATAATAATACATAAATAAATCTGAAGTCACCGTGAAAAGAAAAGCTAATTTTGAAATTATTGTGCGAATAGATTAATTCTTTTATAATAAGTTGTATCTGAATAGTCTGATTTTATATTCTTTATAGGTTTAATCGCTATTTAAACTCTTATTAGTTATTACTTCCCAGAAACGATAAGATAATTATGGGGTTCCATCAATGTTTAATGGGGAGCCATCAATGTGAATAAATAATCACTTGCAGATTTTTTAATATTTAGATTGCCAAGCTACTTTTGAGCATAAACTTCACAAAGAACAAAGTCGCCACACCTTGTTTTCATTGAGTTCTTTACGGAAACATAGATACGTGTCACTCAAATACGTGATATGGCAATTAAAGTATTAATATGCAATGCACTCTTCTTTCTCAAGTACTACAGTGTATTATTTATACTTATCTGATAAAGAAATTAGAGGCGAGAAAGAGATTAAATAAAAATCTGATAAAAGGTGTAGAAGCAAAAAAATATATTTAGTCAGGAAAAATAGGAATAGAATAAATTTATTATAAATTAGTACAGATATAAAATAAAGTATAGACTTTGCATTATAAACAAATTAATTTAAATTAAATTAATTTAAATATTAAATTAGATATTTAATTAAATATCAATTTAAATATTTAATTCAATAGCATCGTTTCTTACATCAATCTATTGTTTTACTGTTTTATTTTGTTTTTAGTTACATTCAACAATAGTTGAAAATTTTCCCAACGCATTATGGACGATTAAAGTGACAGTTTCTAATTGCGATAATAATTGCGGTTTTATGAAATTAGAACAATTACTATTCATAAATATATATAACTAAAAGTAAATCTCTTGCGACTAATACTTCTTCACATTGTAACCGCATTTTAGTTTCTCCGACTTCTAAAACATTCAGTACTACTTTCACCGTTAAATGCCGTAATAGTTTTTAACTAATTCTCTTTGTTTTCTTTTTTTTACTCGTTCTCATGTGAATTGTGGTCAAAATTAACTGACTGTCCGAAGAATACGAGTGACGTCGGCGAAACTAATCCGATTCCGAATCGTTCTATTCGATATTCGATTTAAATCTAGTCCGCGTATTTTCCCAGGGCGATGCCGCTGACAGACTGAAACGTAACACCCTGTACATTCACTCTGACACTGGGCGGATCGGATTCCTCCAGTAGAGAGTTCACTGTCACGGTCTTGCGAGCCGTAAGGAAAAGGATAAATTGTATCGCGTGTTACTCGTTTTTGTTTTCGCTCGAGTACCGCATCGCGTCTCGCGGCACGGCATACACGTGTAATTTGCTGTTGCGCGCGTTTTGCGAGACACGCGCAGGATCGGTTTCCCTTTCTCTAGGCGCGATTTGTGAAGGTAAGCACAAATTTCAGAGAGTGAACGGCTCTCGGTCATCGCCACGGCCTTTCTGCGTTTCTGCATTATCAGCTCCACCTTGCGAATGCTTCTTCGGGAAGGGGAAATAGATTATTCCACTTCCGCGATTTATCGGCGATCGCCGGAAGAATACCAATTTTATATAGCGTGCATGCTATAAGACTGATTTATCTAATTCTATTTTTTGTTAACTCGCAATTTCTTCTTTGCAATCTTTAAAGTGCATTTACTTATACATTATTAAGATTTTTATAAATAATGTTAAAGTATTCTAATTTATATTCCCAAATTTTTTTAATTTTTGTCGCATTTTAGGAGTTTGATGATATCTTTTTCTACTTCTTTCTTATCGTAATCTGATTTTAAACTCATTTTTTTCTTGATTTTAACGAGCTACGCATGTATTACGAAACAGCATGCTTTTGTAGCGCATTATTGTACGTTGAGTAAGATTTCTTTCCGTTGTAAAAATTAAGGAAACAATTTTTGGAGCAATTTAATAATACCTTGAGAACAGTATGAAAGAGTAAATTAAGAAACCACACTTTAGAGAAAGTATGAGAGTGGATCATAAGAGTCATTCCTAACATTCAAACAGAAGCCAGTAAGAGTAAAAGTAAATCAGAATGACTTTAGAATTTAAAATTCGATTTTTATCATCCACCAATATCATTCAGTCACCGTTACTTTAATATTTCAAAAAATACCATTAGTATTCAATTATCATTCTGCTATTAGAAGAAAACAAAATTTTATTACTTATTTAGCAAGTTTTTTATTACAAACTTATAAAAAAAAATTTTGCTTGTTAAAAATGTAACAATTAACATTGAATGAATAAAAAATTAATTGCATATCAGATTAACGGAAGAAAAGCTATGATTTTTAATACAATTTTAATTAAGCACATGTGAGAAATGCACCAAACTTTCTCAAATATTCTATATCGGGTGAATCTGGTATCGTATTGCCGTTAATTGCTTGATTTGCATTTCAATGAAAAATTGTACAATTATATGGAGATACGAATCTGTACACATATATTCATCTGTTTATACTATGTAAATCTTTCGAAAGCGTTCATCATCGCAAAAGTATTTGCCGTCATTCCTATTTTACATCATTTGTTATCTTCTGTAACGTTTATTAAACTTAGTTACCATTAAAAAGTATATTTACGGATGCAAAGCATGATATAAGTATGATAAAAATATAAATAATTGCCCTTTTTCATATGCCAGTAATATTATATAAAATGTGAGAAAATTAATCGAAGCATTTCAACATTTCTCCTGTCATAGATAACGTAGCACGTTCTAATATACGATGTTATTCCGATAAGAGTAAAAATAGTGTGGTACACGACTGCGATGATATAAATGTACATGTCAAGCATTAGTAGTTTGCTGATAGGTGGCAGCAATTACTGAACTTTCAAGTAGAATGCGGCAGAAATATAGACAGTGCACTATTTTATCTATCTACAAGCAATTCTCATAAATGTTAGTCACGGTTAAATGATGTTCAACCGATTGTCGGTTCCTTTCTCAAGGCGGAAATAGAAAGAGACAGAGAAGAGAAAGGAGTCACCAAATGGCTTCTCGTTGAGAAGATCATTTACAAACTGCAATGTCAAGAGCTAATGATGACAATCATCTTTCATTTTCACTGTGATTTTGCATTTCTATAATAAGCACGAATGAAAAATTTTGCAATATTTCCTCGTTTTGAATTCTTGAATATATTCAAATACTTCAGTAAATCAAATATTCAATTATTTCGAATAAAAAATATACACAATATTTTTGAAATTTTAAATTTTTAATTTTTTTTTTTAAGTTACAATGTCTTAATTATTTCCTATTAATATATATATTATAATTATTTTCATTATTCTAATCGCACGTGAAAGGATACGATTGCTTTAATCAAAAAGCGAAAACGCCATACGATCCTTCCTCTCGGGAGACGCGAAAGACTAGTGAAACGAACGAACGAATGGTGCGACGCGATATCCGCCTGTTTCGTGTTCGAGTTATGATTCTGATCTTGATCTTGGCCGTTCACCCGGCGTCTACCTTTCATTAGAAGGAAGAAAGGCCTGTCACAGATCTAATCAAAAAGGAGGAAATGCACAAAGAGAGCGAATGGCGAGGGAGGAAAGCGCTTACCCCCCTAACTAGCTCCGCGTTCAGAGTGACTTTTTTTACCACAGGAAGCCATTAGGCGACTCCTTTCACAAGCACGATACACAAGTAGCAAAAGACTCCCTTTCATTCTTATCCGACTTGTATCACGTACATGTATAAAAGCGGCACGCGTATTCGCGGTAGTCGTCAGATCGAAACCACTACCGAAACCGCGCGGAGAAATACACATATGGTGCTTCCTCGTTGATTACTTATCGTAGTTTTCCGCCTGTCGCTACTTCTTCATCGGCCTCTTGTGGCGACACCTTCCTCGCTGGTCTTATCCTAAACGGAAGGATGAAAAGACGACGCGAAATGTCGGGTCTTTTGGTAAGTTTTCCGATGGATTATTATTCTTATTGATCGACCCATAACAAGGACGAAACGGTAAAAGTGACGATTATAATTTTGGAAGATAAAGAAGGATTATCGCGTGTGATTTTGATCCTGTGCTTAATCAAAGAAGATAATAGGATTGCTCGTTTCGCGAGTTCCGGAAATACAAATCTCAGGAAAGTTTCATTTTCTAAATACTTTGGAATTATTTTAAAAAATTTTTTTAATAAACAAAAAATTGTTTTTGAAAGTATAGTATACTTTCTTTCTTATACGAAATATTCGATTGTAATTTGATATACCTTGTTACTCGTGTTAGTTAAAACGGTATAAATTAATTTTGATTAATTTTATTAAAAGTCTTTACTGAATAATGTTTATTATTTTCAGTTGAATCTTCTCCTAATCGTTATACTATTTAATTTAGCCAACGCCGGTGGCCATGGTGGACAGTAAGTTTCTAAACTAGCTTATTAGCAATTAAAATAATATAGAATAAATAAGTAATAATTAGAATAACTGATACTTAAGTCAAATGCTCTTAAAGCACTAATTCTATACAATAATTCGTGTAATGAAACTATAATCGCACAATTTCTACTTTTTTAAATTGAGCAAAATCTTTAATAATTTTTTTAGCAAGCATGTGATAATTCACGTGCCGTATAAAGTCAAGACCATCCATCATACGCATACAATCACGAAACATATACATCACGGCGGTGGTGATAAATACGAAGTACTTGGCTACACAGTGGGGCATCCGGTTCATGGCGGCGGCGGCGGTGGTGACGGCGGTTTCGGAGGTGGCGGTCACGATCTCAGCGGAGGACATGATTTCGGGGTGGCGGTGGAGGACATGATTCGGGGTGGCGGCGGAGGACATGATTTCGGGGGTGGTGGCGGAGGACACGATTTGAGCGGTGGCGGCGGCGGAGGACACGATTTAGGCGGTGGCGGCGGAGGACACGATTTGGGCGGTGGCGGCGGCGGTGGTCGACGTTCCGAGCTTAGCGGCGGTGGCGGCGGCGGTGGTCACTTCGAGCTTAGCGGTGGCGATCACGGTGGTGGCGGTTACGATTTTGGAGGCGGATTCGGAGGTGGGAACGGATTGGGAGGCGGAGGTCACGACTGGTCGCGTCGTTAGGAAGACTTTATTAGGAAGAGTTTTCGCGTATAATATTGATACTTTTCGATAAAGATAAAGCTTTAAAATAATTGACTCAGGATCCTTTGAAGTGTATGAAGATCTTCTCTATCCTCGTTTTCCACTGAACTGTTGTCTCATATAATTCATTTTAATCGTATTATAGAGAGTGATCTTTTCTCGGATAATTAATCGTTCCACTTGTTAATTTGTTTTAATTTTTTGTATTAATTATCCAAGTATTTATAAGTGCCTTTTATATTAATTATTAAGATAAAATTGCAGAAATTGTGGAGTTATTAACTGCATTCGAAACTGCAGAATATTGCAATTAGATATTGAAAAAAATATGGATACCTTTTTTACTTTTATATCTCTAGTCTGAGTCACTCTCGTTGAATCTTTGACATGTTCTTTAAGCATAATGTGTATGTAAATATTGTTATTCGTTGTTATTCTACTGTATATTATTTTTATATCTATATTTTTCTGTTACAAACATGATGAATAAATAATGCATATTTTTATTGTTCGTATTTCGAATTGATCCTTTATATTCCAAAAATACTTTAAATATATCTCTAACGAAGTTAGTTTGAGAAAAATTGAGATGTATTCATTATTTACTAAATAGTATTTCCATCTATTGTTTTTTAATGATTGGAAAGACCTACTAGAAATAAAAAGCTTAAAGTTGTCTAAAATCAAAATATATTTAAAATAACATAACACATAATTCAAAACATTCTTGTATATTTCACTAATTTATTAAATTCTCAAAATAGCAAGAATTTTACACATATATTTATACTTATATTATATAATTATATAAGTCTACTTAATAATTCTATAATATATAATTCTTTTTAGTCTATAATTTCTTATTTATTATCACCAATTGATATTTATTTAATATTTGTATTAAATTTAAATTTTCAGTGATATTTCTTCGTTATTCATCGTTTGAACGCTTATAAGTATAACTGGTTGCATATTGACAGGCATATCGTTCATCGTTTAATCACGAGAAAAACGTAAACGCTTCTCCAGGCATTCAACATAAAAGTTTTTTCAAATTCAAAAAAAATTTTGAAATTATTAAAAATTTTTAATCGCCCATCTATTATATCAAAAAATAAAAAATTTTTTTAAGTTTTAGTGATACAAAGTATCCATTTGCAAACATTTAAAATTAACATATAGATTTAAAATATACATTTTTGAAATAGTTATTAATCTTGTCACGATTTCTGTGATGCGGAAGCCTTCTCGCGTAATCAAGAAGGCAGAACTCTTTGCGCACGAGAATGCCCGAGGCAACAATAAACAAGCTGGTTGTTACGTATAATATAGGTGCTGTGAGTAGAATTAATGCTTTCATAAACGAGAATTCCGTTATTTCACCGATTTTTATCGTCAGTTTCATTAGATGCTAAAGGCAAAATTTTATATATTATATTATCTCCTAGCACTTATTAATCAGCAGTTGAGCAGAATTACAATGTTAATTATTATCTTAATAGCGAAAAACTTTTAAATGTAATACTTCTTTGAGTAATTAATACTTATTATTGGCACGATCTATCTTATATCCGTTTCTGTGACTTTACGACAAGACGAATATTCTGCGCGACACGCGTTTGTTCGCTTTATACTTATTATTATCGTGCTGATAATCCGAATCATCGACGAAGTAACGGCCGGCATGCGTTTTCTTCCTCGCTTCTTGTTCGTGTTCGTCATTTTCGTACTCCTCAGCCGAGTGCGCGCCCTTCTCATGCTTGCCCTCGTAGAACTTGGTGACATCGCCCGAGTAGACGTGTCCACTTACGGACTCGCCTCCCTTGCTGTAACCTTCCTCGTACATATGTACGTAGGGCTCGATGCCGTTGTGATCTGTTTCCTTGATGTCCTCCTGCACCGCGTACTGCGGTGGACGAGGATACTCCATCATATAGTCGTGCTGCTCTTTTAGATGATCAGGCTTGTCGTTGTGTTGCGACACGGGCATGTAAGAATCCCGATGATACGGAAGGAAGGGATTATTGTGCTTGTGAGCCATCTCTTTGTGAACACCGTGATCCTTGTGATCCTTTTGATTCTTGATCGACAGATCGTTGCCCGGCACATCATCGTGATCGTTATTGTAGCCGTAAGAGCTCCAGGAACTCCAATCTTCGTAATGTGTTTCTGTATGATGATTCTTCTTTGGCGCTTCCGCCTTCGGTTTCGATTTCTTCGGTATCGAGATATCCGGTTTGTGAATGTGTATGAACACCGTCTTTGTGTGGATCTGATGATTTATGACTTCCGGCACGTAAATCTTGAAATGCACGCTGTTAATCAAAATATAATCGTGATGAATGGAAAAAGTCAGTTCAACGTCCGAAAAAAGCCATCAATGCGCTATTGCTATCAATATATCGTTCCTCCTAATAACTTAATATTTCAAAGATTGTATGTAATAGATGTATTATACAAAGATGTATTATAAATTCAAATCACGCTAGCAATTGTAGGAGATTAATTATCCTCGAGCAGCGGCGTAATACGAAATAAATAAGCAGGTGCATTCCTTAATTTGACAACAGTGAGAATGAGAGTGAGCGTGAACTACGATTTTCGCCACGAGAAAGCGTAAAGCTCTCCGCGACTACGTTTAAGCGCCGCGCGCCTCTTTAACGAAGGCGCGCGATTTCATGCAATCTGCGAGATGGATAAAATTTAATCACACGACAATTGTTGCGTACTCACTGTTCCTCGCCGGCGCTTCCGCCGGGCAACATCTCGCTCGACAGAATGAGAAGCAGACCGATAACGATTCTCTGAAACACAAAGTCACGGTCGTTACACTTAGATCAGCCATAACGCGTTGCCTGAATTAATCCGCTTATATTTACGCTCGGTGATCACGATTCCGTTGTACCAATATATCTACGATCTCTCGCTGATTTTAACTCCATATGCAAGACCAATATCAGCACGTATAACTCTTAACGGCAATATTCGAACTAATTATAATATTCGAAAGTGATCGTGCAGAGCTCGATAGCTTTTTAAAAAATTTCACACTTGTATTTATGCGGATTATATTTCCATTAATTGTCACGTGTTAAAGCTTTTGCAAACTAAGAACGCGCGATAATCGTTGTATAAATAAGTCGCACATTCTCTGCATGCGCGATTTTCATCCACCTCGGCGCTTAACTATTTTCATTTTGTTACCATGATTTATTCCGAAAAGTCGCACAAGTGATCGCTAACGCGGTGGTCAATAGTCGTTTGACATTGTCGACGACGGCTATTGCCATTTATATGCTATCTTCTTTTCATCGAAGCGAATCTCGTGAAACGAGTACCACGATACAGTTCACGGCCGATGATCACTTTCGCTATTCTTCCGGTGATATTCTTCATCTATCGATCCGTAACTGATATTGCTTTAGAAATTATAGGGTCAATAAACCATACAGAATCGGCCAAGTTCAGTGTCGCGGTGAAATTGTTTGTCTTATTTTGTTCTAAGAGAATATTCTTCTTTTAACGTTTCTCAATTGATATAAAAAACGATTGATGACAATGAAAGAAAATCACAGAAAAAATTTAATAAAATCTTACCATGCTAATTGCTTCAGCGAAATGCATGCTTGGTTAAAGATTATAAATAGATAAGTAGTTTAGTTAAATGCAATATTTTTATCGCATATTTATCTTTTAGGTTAAATTTTGGACGTTGCTAACTTTACAAGCGTATTATTTTACAATTTTGCACATATTTCTCAAAGGAGATCACATATGATAAATAATTTAATGAAGCAAAATTTAACTCTGAGTTCAAATTCTATAAATATTAGAAATATTACGGAAACTAGACACACTTAAAAATTATCTAATTTACGAATAAAAAAAAGTTAGTAAAAATAATTATTTTTTATTTTTGTCAAAGCAGAAAAATATTGTGTTTATTTGCATATTGAGAATGGTTTTATGGGGAAATTATAAAAAAGTAATCAGTATTCACATGTCATTTATTTACAAAATAAACAATAATGTCATCTAAATTACGCAACATAAAGTGACGGAAAATCTCCCAAAATGATCAAATAAAATTGTATTTAATAACAAGCTAATGACTGTTCTTTGAATTTACTCATACGTGAGTTGCTACTACAATAATCTATGAAAATATAATATATCATTATCGTTTTCGGTAGCCGTCATATTCATCATAATCGTCATCGTCATCGTATTTTAATTCACGGCGATGATGTTGTGGTTTTAGTATTTTGTAGATTGTGTGCGTATGTTTCACATTCTTCACCTTATAAGGCACGTGTATCACCACTTTTTTCCTAAAAGAAAAATTCAAGTTACAACATTTTTACAAATATCTCACATGTTTGAGAATTGCATTTAGGTTATACTGCTATTTCTGCATGATACTTACGATTCGGTCGATTCATGTAACAGTATAAAGACTATAAAGAACAAGATACTGTACTGCAACAAACAAAAATATCAATCATTATTATTACATACTTTATTATTCTGCAAGAATTATATTAAATATTCTTTATTTAAAAAAAGAAATAACGAAATGGCCGTGCAAAAATTAAACACGTTGAATTGAACTTAATTAAATGTTATTACATAACATTCAATATTATTCTACTACAAACAAAATATATAAATTAAGTCAAATAAGGAGTCTAATTAAAGGCTAAATTTAATTAAAATTTAAATATGATATAGAGAAACATCTTACCAAAAACTTCTTGCTCATTGTGGAAAACACTGGTCTGCTTCTGTGCAAAGCTCGAAGCACCTCGGCCAATTGAGAGATATCTTCTACGATATGTTGCTATAAAGCGGGATCGTTTATATAGTACCAACCGACTACTAGCGGGGCGCAATGCTACATATAGTATCTGCGAAACTCCGCCCCATATCTATCCCGCACTATTGTGATTACCACTCTACAATACCGTATTTATATCAGATTTTTATCTTGGAAACCGCCGGTTTTTCACGTTGATCTGATAAAACTCAGAACATAAAATTATTATTATATAGGTGATTGAATTCATTACCTAGATCTAGTTCGGAATGTATCACTACTCTGAACAAATCAAACTATGATCATTTCTACAATTGATTTCTACAATCTACTTCTTTATTCAAAAACTTTTATTCATATTTTTATGTATAAAACAACAAATTTTCCAATTGCGACGAACTACATATATTGGCCATTTGAAAAGTTCTCGGAATGGAATAGAAAAATGATTTATATAATTTTAAAATTATTTTTACCTTTTAATATAATGTTTTTTATAAAACATTAATGCTTTTGAACTCACGATACTCTAAATTTATTATATCATTACGAAACTCCGATTTATCAAGGCATATAAAATATTCATCAACCGCTTCTTGCACTTTTTTATAACAAAAAGATCTCTTACTAGAAAAAAATTTTTTATCCACAGAATAGATACAAATTAGAGAGGGAATTAAAACAGATGAATAAGATGAA